AAAAATAATTTGTATAATTGCACACAAGTAAGATTTATAAGCAGAATAATTTTTTTTTAAAAAAAATAAAAATAAAACCTGATTTATCAAAAAAAAAAAAATTCATTATAGGTTTAACCGTAGGCACCAAAGATTTTTATTACACTAAGAATCAAAATGGTCTGTGGAAATTTTAAAGCTCGTTGCGCCCAAGTGACAAAAAAAAAAAATTGACAGTGGTCAGCATGTAAAAAATTAATGATTATAACTTACTATGAACAAGGGCATAGCAAGTGTTCAACAGCTAATAAATTCGAAATAGAACTGAAGCAACTTAGAGAATAGATTAGTAAAAAACCAGAGCTTATGAAAGTTGTACCGTATGTTTAAAAGCTAGCACCTGGCGCTAAACCTAAGTATCCTGAGCTTGAAGTCAAGTTATTTGAATGGTTTTACCAGGCCCGATCCTAGCAAAAGACCGTTAGTCACTATATGATTCAAGCAAAAGCTCGTTCTCTTGCTGCCACTTCTAGTTACCAAAACCAGTTTCATGGAATTGAAAATTATAAATTTTCTCAAAAATATGTAGATGGATTTATGTCACGGCATAATTTGGTTAACCGTAGGCGTACTACTACCGTCCAACATCTTCCTGAAACTTATAATGAAGAACAAAGCAAATTTTTATCTCTTATACTTTACAAACGTCATAGTTATGATTATCCTTTATCTTTAATTTGCAATATGGATGAAACTGCTGTATCTTTTAATATGATAAATACCACCACAATTGAAGAAAAAGGATCCAAAACTATATCAATTGCATCAACTGGGCATGAACGTTCAATGTTTACTGTTGTTTTAGCTTGTTTAGCTGATAGTACAAAGCTCCTGCCTCTAATTATTTTTAAACTAGTTAAGGTGCCTCGTGAAGAATTTTCTGATGATGTTATTGTACGTGTGAACCCTTCAAGATGGATGAATGAAGATGAAATGGTATGGTGGGTGGAGAACGTTTAGACTCGATGAGCACAACATGATAATAATTCACGTTCTCTTTTCATTATGGATGCATTTGCTGGTCATACAACAGATCGTGTGAAATGACGTTTTCAAGAAAAAAATACCGATCTTGCAATAATTCCTCGTGGTTTAATATCCCGCCTACAACCACTTGATATCTCCATAAACAAGTCGTTTAAATCAAAGGTGATTTTTAATTTATTATAATATTTTTGATCTTTATTAGAGATGCAGTCATTTTTTAGGTTAAGAGTAGCTATTTTCTTGTAATATATAAAATTAGATAGCTGCCACATATAGCTATACAGTATATTATCTTATGATTTAATGTCAGCATCTTTAATCTTAATTTTTTTTTTTTTTTTTTTTTAATAATATAAATAGGTTCGTCACTTATATAATTGATGGTTTGATGAGGGTATCAAGGAATTTACATGTTTGCGTAAAATGAAATGTTTATCTTACGGTTTAGTTGCAAGTTGGATTAGTGAAGCTTGAAAATCTGTTGACCTCAACCTGATTAGAAAATCATTTAAATGTTGTGGGATTTCGAATGCGGTGGATGGAACTGAAGATGATTTAATCTTTGACTTCTCTCGAATTGATAATCAAATGAATCCAGGAAGAGAAATTGAAGATCAAGCTGAAACAGCTAGTGATAATAAAGAAGGAGACAGTGATGAAGAAGAAGACAATGAAGACAATGAAGAAAGAGACAGTAAAGACAATGAAGAAGACGGTAAAGATAATGAAGCAGTCAATTATAACAATGATAATAATAATACACACGAAAGCCCTTTTGTGTATATTGATTATTATAGTGAAAATGAGAACGCCAATATTATTCAAGATTGGAATTAGTCACCACAATATATTTGGACAATAGACATTTAATAAATATTAGTAAATAATTTTTATTTAAAGAGAAAGTGAGCTATTAGGCTTTCAAGTTTACCATTTATTATTTACCAAATTCAGCCCTTAAAAACTTATAGTAATAGTAAGTTTCAAAATTAACTAATAAGTGACGCATTTCAAAAATAAATCAATAGCACTTTTATTATATTGAATTATTAATTGGAAAAATAAGATTTTCTGATTTTAATTTTGAAACCCCCTAATATATATGATACAAAGTCATGTTTAAATATATTACTAATTAGATTTCTTATGGGCTGAATCTTGTAAATAATAAATGATAAACCTGAAAGCTGATGTCTTATTTTCTTCTGGCAGCATTTATCTAAAATATTATTTCTGGGGTTTTGCATGTGCTAAGCACCACACTATGTCTTCATAGCACCCTGTCTAGTACTTGCGGAATCCTAATTAGGTTACATGTGTTAACTCTTTATTCTATTTATTACTTAGTATAACGCCATAAGATTCATATTATAATATCTTATCAGCTCAAGGTCGAATGATAAATTTTAGTAAAATCATGCAGATACTTCAGAAGAATAGTTTGAAAAGGCTATTTCTGATAGACACATTAATTATCTTAGATATAATAAGTTTACAAACTCTATCATGATCTATATTGGATATTTTGAAATGCTTCAAATGCGAAGCATGTTTTCTCTTTTAATAAAAATGAATGTTGATGTTAGTCAAGTATTCACTATTGCATATAAAACTACTTTAATAATTTATATATTGTATAAAAGCGAATACATATGTTACTTACATTACAATTCTGATTAATGCTACAAATCACAAACCTTCAATCCCAAGCATATTTTGTACTTAATCAAAGTATATTATATAAAATACCCGGGTCTTAAACATAATTCATCATTTAAAATTTATAAAATACCCAGGTATTATACGTGGTAAAAAATTTTATGCTATATAAAATATCTGGGTATTTTATATGGGGGTACAATAAATTGGGGATCTCTTAATCAGTGCGATACGGTAATTATAGAGAAAATGTTTTCTATACACCCGCATAGTTGTGCACCCCTATATGATTAGTCAATAAAATTAGCGATCATATATTTTGATAATCGTTATTTTTTTTGCTGATTGCTTTTACTGTTTTTGTTTTGCTGCTTTTGCTGTTTTTGCTTTTATTGCTTTCATTTCGCTTTTGCTGCTTTTGTTTTTGCTGCTTTCACTTATTATTTTCTGCTTCTTTCTTTTTTTTCTTTCGTTTTCTTTTTTTACTTCTTTTCTCTTTTCTTTTTGCTTTTCTTTCTTTTTTTTCATTTTTTTTTCTGTTTATTTCTTTTTACTTTTTTCATTTAATTTTTTTTTGCTAATTTTTTTGCTTTTCTTTTTCTTTTTTTTCTTTTGTTTTTTTTTTTTTTTTTTTTTTTTCTTTTTTTTTTTTTTGTTTTTTTTTTTTTTTTTTTTTTTTTTTTTTTTTTTTTTTTTTTTTTTTTTTTTTTTTTTTTT